GGGGGAAAAAGCGTGGGAGGGGGGAGGGATGTGCGGAGAAGATAGGGACTATGTGGATTTGGTGGGAGAGGATGAGGATGATGAGGAGGAGGAGGAAGAGGAGGAGGCGAGGGGGAAGTGGGGACATGAGAAGTTTTACAAGTGTGGGGAGTGTGGAATGGCGTTTGCTACACGGTCAAAGTTATATTATCACGTGGCCACCCACTCGAAGCAGGTGTGCTTCCCTCACTCACTCACTCGCTCGCTTGCTTGCTTGCTCACTCACTCACTCCCTCCCTCACAACCTCGCTCCCTCACTCACTCGCCTCTCCCTTTCTCTCTTACGCTTCGTACCTACCCTTTTCCCTTCATCCTCTCGTCGTTTTTTAGTCGACCTAAAAGTGTACCTGTTTTTTTCTTTTCTCCCTTCTTCCCTCTCTCCCTTACTGCCTCTCTCACTGCAGTTTGTGTGTCCGCATGGAAATTGCCAGAAGGCATTTTCATTCAGCCACCGGTTGAAGGAGCATCTTCTCACTCACAACCCCAATACTCCCCGAGTAAGCTACCCTCGCCCTCTCCCTCTTCCCCTTCCCCCCCTTTTCCCTATTCCCCCTTGCTCATTGCCTCCTCCCTCCTTTTCCTTCTTCCTCTTTCTCTCCTCCCACTCCCTCCTCGTCCTCTCCTTCCCTCGTCCCCCTCTTCCTCCGTCCTGCGTCACTTGTCTCTCTGACAGTACACACGAGTGCACAAGCACCATTGCGGTCTAGTAGGTGCAACGTTTTTCTCCTCTATCTGTTTCCTTCCTCACCCCCAACCCCCGCAATCCCCAGCACCCTTGCCCTCATCCCCACTGCGCTCGAATCTTCAAGCGTCGACGCGACATGGTACATCATGCAAAGAAGCAGCATGGGGAGGCGTGGGGGAGTAGGGGCAGGGTAATTGGTGTGTCTGGCGGGGAGGAGAGGAGTTTGGCCGGGGTAAAGTGGGTGTATGAGGGGGAGAAAGGGAGTGGGGTGCATGGGGGGGCGAAGGGGATGAGGGTGCATGAAGGAGTGGTGGGGAGGCATGGAGGTGAGAAGAAGGCCGATTTTGTCAGTGGGGACGAGGGAAGGAGGGAGGACAGGGGCGAAGAGGCGAGGAGGGAGGAGGAGAAGATGCGAGGAGGGAGAAAGAGAGGAAAGAAGAGGAGGGCGAGAGGGGGGAGGAGAGGGAAGGAGAGAGGAGAGGAGAGGAGAGAAGCGAGAAGGAAGAGGGGAGCGGCGGCGTGAGGGGCGAAGAGGCGGGGAGGAGGAGGAGAGGAGGGAAGAATGAAGAAGATGGAAGAGGGGAGGAGGGGAAGGAGAGAGGAAGGGGGAGGAGAGGGCGAGGAGGAAAGAAAGGAGGAGGAGAGGAGAGGGAGGAGAGGCGAGGAGGGAGGAGGAGGGAGGGAGGAGGAGGAGGAGGGAGGAGGAGAGGAGGGAGGAGGAGAGGAGGGAGGAGGCTTTGAGGCACGAAGGTGAGAAGAAAACGAGTGTTGTGATGGGGAGAGTGGGAAGGAGAGGGGAGGAGAGAGGAGGAAAGGGGAGAAGTGGGGAGGAGAGGGATGACGAGGAGGGAACACCCTTTTGCCTTCCAGGGGAGGGTGGCGTGGCAGCCGCAGTGGTGCAGGTGCAAGGGGTGGGCAGCACGGTTGGAGGAGGGAGGGGGGAAGAGGTGGGAGGAGCTCAGCCATTACTTGGCTGTACGGGCAGCATAAGGAGGATCGTGATGCCGGTTCATAGGAATGGCAGCGATGGTGGGGAAGGGAGGGGGGCTGCGGAAGGAGTAGCGGTACCCCTTGGTGGGAATGAGGGTAGTGTGGGGAAGGCGGTGGTGTCGGTGCAAGGGGAGTGTAGCATCGGTGGAGGAGGAGAAGAGAAGAAAAGGAAAGAGCGAAAAAGAGGAGGGAGGGGAAGAGGGAGAGGAGGAGGGAGGGGAGGAGGGAGAGGAGGAAGGAGAACCCTCCCCCCTCCGTCCCAAGGGGGATGGCAATGTGGGGAGTGGGGGAGTGAATGAGTGTGAGGGATTGGAGGAGGAGGAGGAGGAGGAGGAAGAGGAGGAGGATGCTGCGGCTGAGCAGGAGGAGCTCACAAGCGTGCAGGAGGGGCGGAAGAGGAAAAGACATGCAGTCCACCTGAGGGGGCAGAGGAGGTACCTGAATTGGAAGGTGCGTCGTTTTGTGGGGAGGAGAGACCGCCGATGCAACCTGAGGAAAAACCTGAAGGCAACAGAGAAGGAGCACTTGAGGCGGGAAGACATTCTCCTGAAGGAGGAAGAGGTTCACCTGAGGCAGCAGGAAGCACACTTGAAGCATCAGGAGGAACACCTGAGGCAGAAAGAATACCTCCTGAAGCAACAGAATGAGCAGCAGGAGTTATACCTGAAACAAAAAGAGCTGCTCCTGAGAGAACAGAAGGAGCAGCAAGAGATGTACTGGAGGAAGCAGGAGGAGCTTTTAGGGCAGCAAGAAGAGCTCCTGAAGCAGCAGAGCGAGCACCTGAACGACAAGAAAAAACCACCTGAAGCGTAAAAGGCAGCACCTGGAGCTTCAAGTGAGAAACACCCGGGTTAGGAAGGATCGCTGCTTTATATTTCCTTGTGGTTTGAGAAGAGAGGTTGGGGTGAGGGATGGGGAGGGAGGGAGGATGGTGGAGGATGGAGAGGGAGGAAGGGGCGTGGTTAAGGCAGAGAGGATGGAGAGTGTGGTTTTAGAGGATGGGGCAGGATTGTCAATTGGTCTTCTGACGTAGTTCTGAATCGGTGTGCTGCTCGCTGAGCTATGTCAGAAGAGTTTGAGAAGGGGATGGAGAGTGCAGATTTGGAGGATGGGGCAGGATTGTCAATTGGTCTTCTAGGAGAAAACAGTTGATGCATGTGGTGATGGGCGCTCGCTCCCAGTTCATTGCTTGGATGTGCATGTGCTGGAGTTTATTACTCTTTTGTTGCGGTGAGAGCTTTCTGTGTCTGGTTAATATCACTCTTGAAGGGCGAGACTTGGATGCACAGCTGGGCATTTAGTGGCCAGTTGGAGCTGCTTTCTCTTAGCTTTTTGCACCTGATGAAATTTGAAGCTGAATTGTTTCCAATTTCTTGAATAGAGGGAATTTAATACCGCTTAATGATAAAGGACATTGAGGGAATTTAATACCGTATGATGACAAAGCAGCTACCATAGATGTTTCGCAATGTGGCTGGTGGGTGGAAAGAAGGTTCTGACACATTTTCACTTTCAGAAAAAGATGTACCGTACTGGTTAGAAGGTTTGTGTGTACTGTTTGTTTCAAATATACAGGCCGAGTGGCGCCTGTATTCGTCTATCTCAGGCTCCATAACCGAACTGGACCGCACAGAACCAGCAGGCCGGTTGTTATCCGAACCGAATAGCAGCAACTCCTGCCTGCTTCCCCAGCTGTGGACTTCTGCGCGAACAAAACAAGTAGGCTTAGGCAGAAATAGGTCGTGCGTGCAGCGCAAGCACAGTTAGGTCGCGCGTGCAGCGCCGTTATATGCGGAAATGACATCCGCGGAAGATGAAATGGGCGGTTCGCTTCCGCGACGTAGCACGCGGAGATCCACGCGACTGGCGCAGATTAGCGGAGCGGAGGCGCGCGGAAAGAACAGTGCGGTGGCTGGCGGAAGGAATAATGCGGAAGCCGGCGGAACGAGCAGCGCGGGTACGAAGGATGGCGACGTTGCTAGAAAGGCTGTAGCGGCTAGTGACAGTGAAAGTGGCAGTAGCAGTCGCAGCAGCGGCAGCAGTGGCGGCAGTAGCTCCCGAAGCAGCTCGGAAGGTTCCATCTGCAGCAGCAAGGGGTTTGTGGTTAGCGACGAGGACGAATTGTCAGATGACGACAGCATGACGTCAGTCGAGGACGAGCAGTCCCCGCGGGCAGGGAGGAAAAGTTCTGGGCCGGTCAGGAAAATCAATTGCGAGGTTGAAGGGGAGGTAAATGGAAATGAGGCTATTAGGGGTTAGAGAGAAAAAAAGGGGAGAGGGAGAAGCGAAGGGGGGCAAGCAGGGGGAAAGGGAGGCGGAGGAGGGGAACGGAACGGAGCGGGAGGGGAAAAGAAAGGGGGAGGGGCAAGCGGGGAGAAAAGGGCGCAGGGCGGAGGGTTGAAGGGGCTGAGCGGAGGGGGGAAAAAGGGAGATGCGCGCACAAGTGGGGGCATGGTTGGGGGCACGGGTGGGGGTGGGGGTGTGGGTGGGGTAAGAGAGGGAGTGACGGAGGGAAGGGCGGAGGGGCTTATAGACGGTTTGGCGGAGGGCTTATCTGAGGGGCCGGGGAGGAAACGCGCAGAGGGGAAAGCGGAGGGGAGAGAGGTGAGACGAGCAGAGGGAGGAGCAGCAGCAGCGGCAGCAGCAGCGGCAGCAGCAGCAGCAACAGTGACAGAAGAAAGGGCAACAGCAGCAAAGGGGCGTGTTGATATGCAAGGGGGTGTAGATGGATGGGTTGACCCTGTAGCGGAGTACATAGGTTGGTCTATAACGGGGATGAGGAGGGGAGGGGGAGGAGATGTGGGAGGGGGGGAGGAGGAAGGAGGGTGGGGAGAGGAGTGGGAGGATGAGGAGGAGGAATGGGAGGAGGAGGAAGGAGAAGAGGAAGGGGGGGAGAACAGGGGGAAGAGGATGGGGAAGAGGAGGGAGAAAAAGGGGAGAAGACGGAGGGGGAGAAGGAGACTGGGGTGAGCAAAGGACGGAGAGCAATCAGCAGCAGCCGCGGGACGCAGCAGGGAAAGGACAAGGAGAAAGATATCACAGGGAAGCCTGTAACGAGTACAGATGGCTCCGTGCGAGATGAAACTTCCTCGAAACCCTCGGATGTACATACAGACCCATCTAAACCCATGGGTATTCCAGGAAATTACAGTGATCCCCTAGGAGGGTGCGGGGATTCCGTGGAAGAGGGAACAAGCACAGACCCCCTGGGCGGGTATATAGACCCGCCAGCAGAGGGAACGGATAGAGACCCCTGGGCGGCTATATAGACCCACTGGAGCAGTATATGCTGTGGTCTGGCGTGGGGCTTGGGGGAGAGGGGGGAGGGGAGGAGGGGGAAGATAAGGGGGAGGAGGGGGAAGATACGGGGGAGGAGGGGGAAGATACGGGGGAGGAGGTGGGGGAAGATGTGGGGGAGGAGGTGGGGGAAGATGTGGGGGAGGAGGTGGGGGAGGATGTGGGGCAGGCGGAGGTAGGGGGAGATGTAGGGGGAGCGGTGGTGGGGGGATGTGTAGGGGGAGAGGTTGGCGGAAAGGTAGGTGAAGAGGAGGGGGATGAGGTGGGGAAAGAGGGGACGGAGAGGAAGGAGGGGAGTACAGGGGATGAGAGGAGAGAGACGGAGAGGCGAGATGAGGAGGGGAGAGAGGAGGAGGGGAGGCAGGAGAGAGAGGAGGAAGGACAAAAGGAGGGGCGAGAGGAGGGGAGGCAAGAGGATGGGAGAGGGGAGAAGGAAGTTAGGGAAGGGCGGGATATGAGGGAGGTTGGAGTGGAGAGGGAGGGAGGCGGAGGGAGGGAGGAGGAGGTACAGGAGAGAGAGGGAGGTGGTGCTGAGGGGCGGCGTGATTGTGGCAGGGAGGAAAGTGCTAATAACGAGGGTAATGAGGAGAATGAAAAGAGTGAGAAGCGTGAGAATTGCAATAATAATGAGAAAAATGAGGGAAATGAGAAGGACGATAATAATGAGAAGAACGAGGATAAGGAGAAGAACGAGAATAATGAGGACAAGGAGAAGAATGAGAATAAGGAGTTGAGGGAGGATGAGGATGTTGTGGAAGTGACTGAAACGGGAAGGGGAAAGGGTGGTAAGGGAGGAGGGGAGGTGGGTGATGGTAGAGAGGCGATGGAAGGGGAGGGTATGGGGCGTGACTGTGACGAGTGTGATGTTGAGGAGTGTGAGATTGTGGAGAGGAGTGAGGAGAGGGTTGGTGATGGGAGGGATGGTGAGAGGAGGGATGTTGGAGAGAGAAGGGATAGGCGAGGGGCTGGTGGAGGGAGAAGAGGGCGAGTGGGAGAGAAGGACAGGATCGGAAGGGAGAAGGGGGGCACGAGGAGGGGAGAAAAGGAGGGAAAGAGGAGTCGGAGAGGAAGAGAGAAGGCGAGGGGGAATGAGGAGGAGAGAGAGGAGCGAGGGGAGAGGGAGAAGGAAGAGGGGGAAGAGGTGGAGGAGGTTGAGTTGGTAGAGGAAGAGGAGAAGGAGGAGGAAGAAGAGGTGAGGGGCAGAAAGAGGGGACGAAAACGGAGTAAGCACGAGGAGAGGGAGAAAGAGAGGGATGTAGGTGGGAAGGAGGATGAGGAGGAGGAGGCGGAGGAGGAGGAAGTGGAGGAGGTAAAGGTGGAAGATAGACAGGAGGACAAGAGCAACAGGAACAAGAGGAAGCGCAAGGAGAGGCAGGGGGGAGAAAAGAAGAAGGAGGGGGGAAAGAGGTCAAAGTATCAGAAAGAAGCGGCTAAAGAGGAGAAGGATTCGGGAGAGGATGAGGAGGAGGAGGAGGAGAGTGAGGAGGAGGACGGGGAGCGGGGCAGGGGTGGAAGGAGATACAAGCAGAAGGAGAAGCGGTATGAGTGTGGGCAGTGCGGCATGGCGTTCACTCGGCCGGCGTATGTGCGACAACACATGGCCTCCCACTCCAACCAGGTGGGCTGATGCTCCCTCATTTCACACGCATGCACTCACACACAATCACACTCGCTATCCTTCATTCCACCATTCATTCGGCCCATGTGCGCACATCAGCTCATAGCCTCCCACTCCAACCAGGTGGGCTGCTTGCTCACTCACTCACTCACTCACTCACCCACTCACTCACTCACTCACTCACTCACTCGCTCACTCTCTCCCTCCCTCACTCACTCACACATTCACACAAGGACTCCAGAAGAGCAGTTGGGAGGAAGTATCACCTGCAGAATCTCATGCACCCGTGTTTCAAGACGCCTCTCGAAGCGTCATTCCTCCTTCCTTCACCCCCCTTTTCCCACCGCCCCACCACTTGCCTTGCAGCAGAAGTCGTTTGTGTGCCCACACGAGGACTGCAGAAGAGCGTTCGGGAGGAAATATCACCTGCAGCGCCACATGCAGTCCCACGCTCCTGACCGGGTAAGTCCCTCCCTCCTCCTATGAGTCGGCCGGTTACTGACACCAACCTGATCATATGAGTCGGCCGGTTACTGACACCAACCTGATCATATGAGTCGGCCGGTTACTGACACCAACCTGATCATATGAGTCGGCTGGTTACTGACACCAACCTGATCATATGAGTCGGCCGGTTACTGACACCAACCTGATCATATGAGTCGGCCGGTTACTGACACCAACCTGATCATATGAGTCGGCCGGTTACTGACACCAACCTGATCATATGAGTCGGCCGGTTACTGACACCAACCTGATCATATGAGTCGGCCGGTTACTGACACCAACCTGATCATATGAGTCGGCCGGTTACTGACACCAACCTGATCATATGAGTCGGCCGGTTACTGACACCAACCTGATCATATGAGTCGGCCGGTTACTGACACCAACCTGATCATATGAGTCGGCCGGTTACTGACACCAACCTGATCATATGAGTCGGCCGGTTACTGACACCAACCTGATCATATGAGTCGGCCGGTTACTGACACCAACCTGATCATATGAGTCGGCCGGTTACTGACACCAACCTGATCATATGAGTCGGCCGGTTACTGACACCAACCTGATCATATGAGTCGGCCGGTTACTGACACCAACCTGATCATATGAGTCGGCCGGTTACTGACACCAACCTGATCATATGAGTCGGCCGGTTACTGACACCAACCTGATCATATGAGTCGGCCGGTTACTGACACCAACCTGATCATATGAGTCGGCCGGTTACTGACACCAACCTGATCATATGAGTCGGCCGGTTACTGACACCAACCTGATCATATGAGTCGGCCGGTTACTGACACCAACCTGATCATATGAGTCGTCCGGTTACTGACACCAACCTGATCATATGAGTCGGCCGGTTACTGACACCAACCTGATCATATGAGTCGGCCGGTTACTGACACCAACCTGATCATATGAGTCGGCCGGTTACTGACACCAACCTGATCATATGAGTCGGCCGGTTACTGACACCAACCTGATCATATGAGTCGGCCGGTTACTGACACCAACCTGATCATATGAGTCGGCCGGTTACTGACACCAACCTGATCATATGAGTCGGCCGGTTACTGACACCAACCTGATCATATGAGTCGGCCGGTTACTGACACCAACCTGATCATATGAGTCGGCCGGTTACTGACACCAACCTGATCATATGAGTCGGCCGGTTACTGACGCCAACCTGATCATATGAGTCGGCCGGTTACTGACACCAACCTGATCATATGAGTCGGCCGGTTACTGACACCAACCTGATCATATGAGTCGGCCGGTTACTGACACCAACCTGATCATATGAGTCGGCCGGTTACTGACACCAACCTGATCATATGAGTCGGCCGGTTACTGACACCAACCTGATCATATGAGTCGGCCGGTTACTGACACCAACCTGATCATATGAGTCGGCCGGTTACTGACACCAACCTGATCATATGAGTCGGCCGGTTACTGACACCAACCTGATCATATGAGTCGGCCGGTTACTGACACCAACCTGATCATATGAGTCGGCCGGTTACTGACACCAACCTGATCATATGAGTCGGCCGGTTACTGACACCAACCTGATCATATGAGTCGGCCGGTTACTGACACCAACCTGATCATATGAGTCGGCCGGTTACTGACACCAACCTGATCATATGAGTCGGCCGGTTACTGACACCAACCTGATCATATGAGTCGGCCGGTTACTGACACCAACCTGATCATATGAGTCGGCCGGTTACTGACACCAACCTGATCATATGAGTCGGCCGGTTACTGACACCAACCTGATCATATGAGTCGGCCGGTTACTGACACCAACCTGATCATATGAGTCGGCCGGTTACTGACACCAACCTGATCATATGAGTCGGCTGGTTACTGACACCAACCTGATCATATGAGTCGGCCGGTTACTGACACCAACCTGATCATATGAGTCGGCCGGTTACTGACACCAACCTGATCATATGAGTCGGCCGGTTACTGACACCAACCTGATCATATGAGTCGGCCGGTTACTGACACCAACCTGATCATATGAGTCGGCCGGTTACTGACACCAACCTGATCATATGAGTCGGCCGGTTACTGACACCAACCTGATCATATGAGTCGGCCGGTTACTGACACCAACCTGATCATATGAGTCGGCTCACGTTATTCAGGAAGAAGGAAGTACCACCTGCAATGTGCATTTTACTTTTGAGAATTCTCAAAAGTACCACCTGCAGCGCCGCATGCAACCTCCCATCCCATGCCCCTGACCGGGCCAGTTTTTGCGCCATTAGACATGCTGCGAGCGACACGTGAGGCTGTTTCCTTTTTCGATCTGCTCTCCCGATTCTCTCCTTCCTCTGCATCCCACCCCACCAGTTCCCCTGCCCACACCAACAGTGCGCCCAGACGTTCAGCCTGCATGCCAGCATGCAGCGGCACATAAGACTGCCTCTCCTATTCGGCCTCTCTCCCTCCATCTCTGCAATTTCTCTCCCCCCCCCCCCCCCCCCCACCAGTTCCCCTGCCCAAACCCGCAGTTCTCGCAAACGTTCAGCCTGCATGCCAGCATGCAGCGACATGTGAGGGAGCAGCACTGGGAGGAGGAGGGCATCAAGGCGAAGCAGGAGCAGGAGTTTAGAGGCCGAGGGCGTCAGGATGTGGGGCCGAGCATGAGGTTGGGCCCTTGTTCCATCTCCTTTCCCCATCCTTGTACCCCCTCCCCCCCCACCAGTTCCCCTGCCCTCACCCGCAATGCGCCAAAACGTTCAGCCTGCATGCCAGTATGCAGCGGCATGTGAGGGAGCAGCACTGGGAGGAGGAAGGGATCAGAGACCGGCTTGATCGCGTGAACAGAGAGACCAAGGGGAAGCAGCAGGAGGAGGGGGGGATTGGGGACCGGTTGTGTAGAGTGAAGAGAGAGAGTAAGGGAGGTGGGGGCGGGCGTAAGGTCCAGGAGAAGGGGGAGAAATCGCAGGAAACGGCACAAGAACAAGCACAGGAAAAAGCACATGAGAAAGCACAGGAGAAAGAACAGGAGGAAGCACAGGAGAAAGCACAGGAGAAAGCACAGGAGAAAGAACAGGAGAAAGCACAGGAGAAAGAACAGGAGACAGCACAGGAGAAAGAACAGGAGAAAGCACAGGAGAAAACGCAAGAGAAAGCACGGGAGAAAACACAAGAGAAAGCACGGGAGAAAACACAAGAGAAAGCACGGGAGAAAGCAACAGAAACAACAGGACGGCAAAGAGGAGGGGAGAAGGAGGATAGAAGAGGGGAGGAGGAGAGGCAAAGAGGCAAAGAGCGGATAAGAGGGGAGGAGGAGGAGAAGAGAGGAGGGGAGGAGGTGTGGAGAGGTGGGGTTGAGAGGAGAAGAGGGGCAGATGAGAAAATAGGAGTACAGGAGGAGGAAAGAAGAGGAGGGGAAGAGGAGAGGAGAGAAGGCGAGCAGGAGAAGAGAGAGGGCGAGGAGGGGGCTGGAATGGGTTTGTGTGCGATGGAGAGTGGTGAGAAGCGGTTTGACACTCAAATGTGCGATGCTGAATTGTTTGATGCTGCTGAAGCAGACAGGCAAGAATTTGCTGACGTGGAGGATAACAGAGAGATCCTTGCGATCAATGGGAGAGAAGGGGCAGTGCAAGGGATGCATGGCCACCTGCAGCAACAAAAGCAGCACCTGAAGAAACACCTGGAGGTGGATGAGGATCACCTGAAAAAACACCTGAAGGAGAAGGATCAGCCTGGTATGGAGGTGAAAAACCACCTGAAGCAACAGAAGGAACTCCTGAGGGCGATGAGGGAGCACCTGAGGAGGAAGGAGATTCTCCTGAAGGAGGAGGAGGATTTTCTGAGGCGGCAGCAGGAGCACCTGAGACAACAGAGGGAGCACCTGAAACAACAGAACGAGGACCTGAGGCAACGGGAAGAGCAACTAGCAAGGCAAGAGCAGCACCTGGGGGAATACCTGAGGGGGGAGCACGTGGGGGGGAATGGGTTGCTACTGCTGCAGGATGAAGTATGCTTAAGCTTCGGTGCCGCTATCGGGACGACTGGTGGTGCTGTGGCAGGAGCTGATGCTGATGTGGCAGCAACTGTCGGTGATGGAGATGTGGCTGTTTGTGATGTGGCAGGTGCCGATGGTGACGTGGCAGGTGCTGATGGTGACGTGGCAGCAATTGGTGGTGAGGTAACTGCAACTGATGCTGATGCCATGGCGGGCGTTGGTACAAGTGGGGACAGTGAGGGCGCTGGTGGGGGAAGCGGAGGGGGAATTGGTGAGAGGGAGAAGGGGAGCGGGGGGGAAGATGGGGGGGAGATGGTGCGAGGAGAAGAGGGAAGGGGAGGTGGCCAGCAGGAGGTGGAGACTGGTGGAGGAGCCGTGGCGTCAGCAGTGGCATCAGGCGGGGCTGTTAAAGCACCTCAAAAGATGGTGCGAGGCGAAGAGAGAAGGGGCGATGGTCAGGAAGAGGTGGAGGTTGGTGGGGAAGCCGTGGCGTCAGCAGTGGCGTCAGCGGGGGTAAAGAAGTACAAGCAGGCTGGGATGATGAGCTGGAAGCGCAGGAGGTGGTGTGATAAGGACATGGCAAGAGATAAGGATGGGGTGGAAGGCAAGATGAATGTGGCAGGGAAGCGATTGAAAGACGCTGGAAGGGACGGGCAGTTAAACGAGGTGACTTTTGAGTCGACTCATAAGGATGGGGTGGAGGGCAAGACGAGTATGGCAGGGAAGCGATTGAACGACACTGGAAGAGACGTGCAGTTAAGGGAGAGGAGAAAAGAAGCGTTGGGAGAAGGGAAGTCTAGAGACAGACCATGTGACGCCACTGAAGCAAGGCAGGGAGAACTAGAAGGAGGAACGTCAACAGGAAGCGAGGAAGATGAAGAAGACTTGTCGTCAGCATCGAGTGACGAGGGCGCAGCAGAAGCAGCAGCAGGAGGAGCAGTGGCGGATGGCACGGCGGGCACAGCAGAGGGAGCAGACGGAACAGCGGCAGCAGGGGACGGCACAGCAGAGGGAGCGGACGGGGCCATATGTGGCTTCTGCTTTGCTGCATTCCCGTCCCTCTCTGCCTTGGAGCAACACACGCAGCAGCAGCACCGCTCCGTGCCCTGCCCACAGTGCAACAAGCAGATCTCTTTCTCGCGCTTCAAGGAGCAGCATGAGGTGGAAAAACGACCATCCCACCCGTGCAAGGTGGATGGGTGCAGCAAGGCGTTCAGCTCTGTGAGTCCCTCTTCCTGCTGCTGCTTCGCTGCCTTGCCATCCCTCTCCCCACTGCTGCAAGCAAGCACATCTCTTTCTGCCGCTTCAAGCGCCACTTTTAGCTCGGCGAGTCCCTCTCTCCACTGCTGTTGCCGTGTTTGTTGTGTTGCCATTGAAGGCAGCTGCTTCTCACACATTGCGGTGGTTTCTGAGGCGCCTCAAAAACCACCTAAATTTTGAGGCGCCTCAAAAACCACCTCAATTTTGAGGCGCCTCAACAACCATCTCACTGCTCCCAGCAGTTTGCATACAAAGACAACCTCCCCCTACTCTCCCTCTTCCTCCTCATCCCCCCTCCCCATCAAAGCAGCCCAGCAACCTGAGGACGCACATCAGGGCATGTCACCAGAAGGACCGTCCCTTTGTTTGCTCCGTCCCAGGCTGCTCCCAGCGCTTCGCGTACAAAGTGAACCTCTTGCGGCATATTGCAGCCATACATGAGATAACGCCCGCACAGGTGAGGGAGATGGTGTCTGTGGTGGGTGTCTAGGCTGCTCCCAGCCAGCGCTTCGCATACAAAGTCAACCTTTCACGCCACGTGGCTGCCATACACGAGATTACACCCGCACAGGTGAGGGCAGTGCAGACTGTGTGGTGTGTGTCGAGGAGCTTTCAACCGAGTGCAAACACGCTCCCAGGCTGCTCCCAGCGCTTTGCATACAAAGTGAACCTCTCCAGGCATGTTGCTGCCATGCATGGAACTACACCAGCACAGGTGAGAGCAGTGCTAATTGTGGTGTGCTTGCTAAGTAGGCTTGACTGAGTGCAGTCACTTCTGGGCTACCCCCAGCACTTTGCATACCGAGTGAACCTCTCGAGGCATGCTGCAGCCGTGCACGGTGCCCACACCCGCACAGGTGAGGAGCCTTAAATTGAGTACAGAGTGAACCTCTTGAGGCATGTTGCAGCTGTGCACGTGCTGAAATCAAACCCACACAGGTGAGAGCAGTGCTGAGTGTGTGGGGTGTGTGGGGTGTGTGTCTAGGAGCCACATGTAAAGAGTGAATTTTTTAGACGTCTAAAAAATTCACTCTTTACATGTGGGGTGTGTGTCTAGGAGCCTTATACTGAGCGCAGTGCAGACCCTCCCAGGCTGCTCCCTCCGTGTCCCTCCCCCTCTTATCGCTCTAGGCATCTTTCGATCCCTCAATTTCTTGTAATCAAAATGTGGTGGGGTGGGATGAGGCCATGCACAAGTGAGAGAGGCTCACAGGGATGTCTTGCCTTTCTCAATCTCTTTATTCTTCCTCCTCCCCTCCCCTCCCCTCCCCTCTCTGTGCTGCTCTTGATCTCTAAACGTCATTCCTCAGAATGTGGTGGAGAGGGATGAGGCGATGCACAAGAGGCAGAGGCTTACAGGGAGACCGCCTTGTTCTGATGGAGCAGCGTTTGTCAGTGATACGCTGCGAGCTGTACGTACAGAGCGTGAAAACGACATCACAGATGTAGGAGATCATTAACTTTCCAGCGTTAATCTGCACATAACTGACACTATTTCTAACAGCGTTTCACACAATTTTATCGCGTGTACTTCACAATAGTTTTAATGATGCTTGAGTGCGAGCCAAGCTATTGGGGTACACATGTGTTTTGGTGTATCTGAACCATGCGAGGTGGTGAAATTCTGAAACGGGCCACGCTGTGCTGAGAATTTGTTGGGGATTCATGCATCCGCTAAATTTATTTGGCGTAGATTCTCCCAATAGACCCACGTGGGAGCATGGACCAGCCAGCCAAAACCTTCTCGTCTGGAACTTGCTGTGATTCGGGAATCAGGGCTCGTAATCGTCAACGAATTTTTGACTCCCTGACAGCCCCAAAACACCCCCCAGCCCAACCCAAAACCTAGGTGTCTTCTCCACACCAGGGCCTAAGTTATCAGGGCAATTACCCTGTTTTGACTGAAATTATAAGGTTTTTTCACAGCAACCTTGATTTTCACAAGGTAATTTTCGGACCAGCCCGTAAAACTGAAGGGTGATTTTTGAGCCCACTCGGATACTCAGGGATGTTTTCAAGGGGACCCGGATAGTTTTAGAACACCATCGTCCCCGACCTGCCTCGCATCCCCTCCCTCTCCCCGTGTACAACGCATAGGCCACTTTCAGTGAATTTTCCTTAGCATTCGCTCCTGGTTTGGCCTCCTGGTGTTTGACTTCCGGTACTACGTTGAGGTGGCTATTAGCACCCTCCACGTATAAAAATTTCTAAGTATACAGAAAGTCTCTCTCCCCCCTCTAGCGTCGCTTTTTAATGGCCAACCTTCCCAGCCTTCGTAAAACTCACGGTGAGTCTCTCACCCACTGTGAGTTTTACGATCATAGCCCCATCCCGCGAGATTCTGGTAAGGTAGGCTTTCAGGCCTTTTCTGGCTCGAACCCGGATTTGTGTAGGCTTTTTTCCTGCTGGCTCGTAATTTACAGGGTCTTTTTCACAGGGGCCCGGATCGTCCGAGCTAGCAAAAATCCTAGCAATAGCCCTGCTCCACACCGCGGAGTTCAGTTTGCTCCACACTCCACTCCCTTCTTCCCTACGTCCACTGACGTTCCTGCAATGACTGCCCTGTTCGACCCAATATTCAGGACACACTTGAAAATGTTTTCCCTGCCCTGACCCTGCATATCAACGATCTCCAGATAAATATGCTAGGGTTCAGCCCTGCTGTACACACGACCCTCTGAACTGCAGCGATCCCTTCCACCTGTCCCTTGAAATTACAGATTCGTTGCAGCGATCGCCGCATCACTCCCCTTCCGGCCACAACAGGCCCACCATCGCCACCCCCTACCCCATTCTCAAATAAGGACGTGTACACATTAGCGGTTTGGTCAACAATAGAGTCTGTTCTATGAGTGAAGAGACTTGGCAACGAATCATCCAATCAGCCTGCGCTCACGGACCCTAGTGACCCACCTGAGACAGACGAACGGCATTGTATCAAGGTAACCTGGTTCGGGATTCCTTTCAAGAATAGAAACTCTTCTGTACCGGGTAACATTTTCTTGTCCCCCTTGCCGATCGCACACAGCGCCGCTGGAAATTCGTTTCCGAACTCTAGGGAAACTTGATAGGATTTCATCCTGGAAGTTCCATCCTCCAGTCAGTCTTGGGAACTCGAGGAGAAATTTGCAAGGAGTTCCCTCAGGGATCTACGGGTGGTAGCTCAACTCTTGGCTATTTGAGCTCAACCTGCCATGGTAAGTTATTTTTTCCTCCTGATTCATCCGCCATGGTGATGGAGGTTAGGATGACTTTCGACGAGGCAGAGTTTTTCCAGCCATATCCGCCTAACGTGTCTGGTTCTGTAGATGTGAACGCTTACCTTTTGGCTCCTAGAAAAGAAGTACGTCTTGTGATTGATTACTTCTGCACTGCTTCGTTCGCGAGTTCTTGGTGACTTGCCTTCATCGCTTCCTACATGAATGTTTAGAGTCTCGCTGACAATATTTTAGCGCTTCTGCCGTTGTTCGTTTCTGCTTTTGCTTTTAAGTGTTTCTTAATGAAGATTCTGTGTTAGAAGCATACTTATCTCCACCCTTATTTCCTCGCAATTCTCCCCTTACGCAGGTCAACTTATCACCTGGTCAAGTCAACGCTTTCATCTGGTGTCTTCTAATTGGTTTCACGGGATGGCTGCTTCACTGGCTTCTCGCCTACGTCTCTTTATGGCGGCGGGGAAACCAGTTCCCTGGTCCCAAGGGTCACTTCCTCTGGGGAAACACGTCAGAGCTCATGGGAGCTGGAAGCGTCACCGGTACGCTCTTCTTAGCGTCTCGATTAATCGTTCCGTCTCTCCCGCTTGCTAACGTCGCAATTAATCCTTCCGTCTCTCGCATTTTCTTTTTCTGGAACCATATCCTGCCGTATAGCCGTTTTAACATCACAACACATTTTCGTGTTCTCTTTTTCCAGACCTTATTGCAAGGCTTCACTCGGAGTACGGTCCCGTTGTAAGGCTCTGGATGAGCCCGACGAAGCTGCTTATATCGATTCGCGAACCGACGCAGGTTCGCAAGGTGCTTATGCGAGCTCTTGAACGACCGCCTGCCTTTAGCCGAATTATGGCTCGCTGCCTCGGAGCCGAATCCACTCGCTTCTCATCCCTCATGCAACCGCGAGATCGCAGGTCCTTCTTGGATTACCACTGCCATACTACACTCAAGTTTCAGGTTCATGAGGTGACGTCAACTGTCGTTCACATGACGTCACGCCACTGGACGTCCGTGGCCGGGTCTGGCGGGGAGATTGACGTGGGTGGTGTAGCTAGGGATATGGCCGTTGGTGTGCTAGGCGGGTCTCTTTTTGGTAGCGGGTTTCCTATGTCGAGGATCCACGCTCGTTTACAGGTTTTATTGGAGAAGGTAGCTGCAGGATCTCAGAAGTTTTCGCGGTTCCCAGTCGAGCCGTTCTGGCTTCCGTCGTATTGGCAGTTTTCCCGCGTTTGCGACGAGTTTCGCGAAGTCATGCGAAGACTTATGTCAGGCGAATGCGAGGGCGTCAAGTGCGAGTTACTCGACGTTGGTGTAGCCAATTTGAGCACTAGAGGCGACGACACGGGGAACTCTGGATGCGAAGGGGATGGAGCCTTGCAAAATCCCGTCGCCGCCGCTGCTGCTTCCGGTGGTGTTGGTCTTGTTTCCGGCGTCAACATCGGTGCTGGTGTTGACGCTGCTGCTGCTGCCGCTTCTTCCTCTTCCCCCACGCGCCGGGTCATCGCGCAACAAGCGCCTCACGAGGGTTTTCTCTCCGCCATGCTGTCGGAACGGTCCCGTTATGGGCAACCGCTTTATAACGAGACGACAGCATTGGCCGAAGCTGCCTCCCTCATGCTTCACGGTCACCTCTCGGTTCCCGGGCTGTTGGAGCGAGTGCTTGTCGCTCTAGCCGCGCACCCCGATATACAGGACAAAGTCGTACAGGAAATTCGCACGGTAGCGAATGGTGGGGCGCCTACTGACGAGGATCTGCAGAAGCTGGCTTATCTGAACGCGGTTATATACGAGACGTCCCGATTGATGCCGTGTCAGCCGCTAGTCACTAGATGCGCGCTCTCAGAAAATATACGTCTGCCTGTCTCTCCGTCACCCCAGCTTTGTAGCAGCAGCGACGGAGGGTTTCGTTCTTCGAGTGAGGGCTCTTCTCGTGGAGATGTGCAGGGCAGTGGGGATGTTGACGATACGCGGTTTCTTTCGGTTCCCTCAGAGACCGTTTTGGCGCTGCCCATGCACCTCCTGCAAACGGATCCTTCGTTTTGGGGCGACGACGCGTTGGAATTCCGGCCTGAGCGCTTCATTCGGTTCAGAATGCAGCAGGAGAAGAGCGACAGTGACGGGAAGGAAGGACAGGAAGGGCAGGAGGGCAAGGGAGGGAAGGAAGGGAAAGGAAGGAAGGGAAGCAAGGGAGGCAAGGGAGAAAGGGAACGGAAGAGGGAGGGGGAAGGCGAGGAGAAGGAGGGGGGGCATTGGAGAGAGGAGTTGCTTCCGGGGAGGGACTATGAGTGTGTGCCGCCAGAGCAGGGAGAGCATTTCCTCATGTTTGGAGGCGGGCCACGGTCGTGCGTGGGGCTGCGATTCTCTTTCAAGATCGTGCGCGCTGTTGTGGCGCTGCTGTTACACCAGTTTGAGGTGAGCCGCCTGTGCCTTGTGCCTGTCACCATTCCTGTGGCATTGTGGGATGAGCCTCATACCCCCCTGCCACATATTCTCCCCCTTGCACATGTTGGCCGGCCATGTCTCTCCCAACCACAGTCTTACAATTTTCATGAATCTCAAGCTCCGCTCAATTCTCACTCTTCTTCTCTCTTCCCCTTCACACCCCTTCCCCCATGCAGATCTCCCTGTCGCCTGGCATGCCCCATGCATTCTCCTCTCAGCTCTACAACCTCGCTCTCCATCTCTCTCCGTCCCCAAGAATTAGAGTCTCCATGCGCACGCCCATCCCTGCCATGGACCCATGCGACACTCTTGCTCCTGCTGACGTTGCTCCTGCTGACAATGACCTCACAGCAAGTTTTTAGCCCTGTCATGCACACAGCATGTCAGGGTTTTGCGAAGTGCCTCAGATGCTGCTCTGTGCTTGTTTTTTGGCCGCTAGGTCTCTTATCTTGGCCGGGCGTTTGTCCTGGCTTGTTCGTTGCGGTATTTCTCCTCTATTTTTTTTTCCGTTTCGCTGTCTTTTTCCTCCATTGGGAGCTTGGTGCTTGCGCTTCGTATGCATTTTGCTGTTTTCTACTGTATTTCTTTGTACACATTTCCTCATAGAGGAGTGTGGGTACTGTAGTTTTTAGCCAGCTAGTCGTACTGGAGTACCGTATTTGACTTCCATTCGTTCAATATCTGTTAAAACTACTTAATTCTTACAGAAGTTGACCAACGCTCTGATGTAACGACGTCTTACAGATACTGGTACAGTACATTACTTTCCTAGAAATACAGCTTCACAGCACACTGGTAGTTTCAGTGTGGTTCCAGTGTCCCTACTGAGAGTGATCAACTTTGCATCCCTGTAAACCAAACCTCGCCTGCAGTAACCATTTTGTCTTGACCTGACGGTTCATTTTTCGGGCGGTTCATTCGAAACGCTGACGAAAATGCAACTATCATGAAAATGCAAAATGATTATATGCCCTACCCGAGGGTGGGGTTACGTCAGCAGCGCAGTGGCAAAGGCCTCACATGGCACACTGACACACTGATCACCTCGCCATACATCTGCTGCATATTTGCGAAGTACCACTGGATACTGGTACCATAATCTTCAACTGGATTTTATATACCGGAAGCTGCATACAACTACATAGCTCACTCTGTTTTGCACACTGTAGCATCCGTGTAAATTAATCCACGCCTACAATAAGACCCGAGGGTTGGGTTGCAGTGCACGTCAGCAGCGCAGTGGCAGAGGCCTCGCATGGCGCACTGGTCACCATACACTTGCACTGGCTGCTGTGACAGGCCCAGCACGCGCTTTGCCCACTCATTCAAGAAGAGCCCTCTTGGATCAAACGCCTCTCTGCGTGATGCACAGCATGAGAGCGTGTGTTGAAAGTGTGTCAAGAGTATGCCAGAGAGTGTCAGCATGTGCCAGAGCGTAAAATGTGGCGCGGTGTATTTTTTAAGAGTTTTTGGTCGCAAACAAGGACAAAGTGAACCGTAACCAGCCGCACCTGACTTTGAGGAAGCGAGGGAGGTTGGGGTACTTGCTGGGGACGTCAATGAAGGAAACATCCTTGTTCTTTCCCCAGTGCGGCTTGCCGTTGAACATCTTCCCTATGATCTGCTCATACTCATCCGTCACATCCTGCACATCGGGGCATTGACATCAACGGTAGCAGCGATATATAATGAAAAAGGTGATTCCTCTGAGCATCTTTCTGATGATGTGTTGATACTCATCGTCACTGCTGTATGGAGGGTCATCAGGGGGGGTTTTGACACTCTTGTCGACCATTAGAGTCCTCCAGCAGAGTGTCAGAATCCCCCTGATGATCCTCCATACAGCACAACTTGCACCTTCAGTGCACTCTGCACACCACACCTGGCTGGTGCGTGGCTGCGACGAGTCGTCACTGCAGTAGTACTGAATATCGTCCATCACAGAGTCCTCTGTCATTGACAGTAGAGTGTCGGAACCCCAGACAAACCTTTACAAAGCATACACCAGGCTAGAGGGAGGAAGCATACCTGGCTGGTGCGTGGCTGGGACGGGTCGTTGCTGCGAAAGTACTGAATGTCAACCATCACCGAGTCCTCTGCTGACCCCAGCAGAGTGTCGGAGCCCCGGATGAAGCGGAAGAAGATCCCTCCGTAGTTTGCCAGCCCGCAGAAGCCGAGGCGACGGGCTACTGCGAGCTCCTTGATGGTAAGGATGAACTCTGTAAGGGGTACAGACAGGTACAGGGGTGGAGAGAGGGAGGGAGGGGAAGAGTAAAAGAAGAAGACGGCTCGACATAAGAGGAAAAGGAAAATATTCCAACCACTCAAAAGACACAAGGCGGCAAAACTGAGAGGGGGAGGAGGGAAGAGGCTGCAAGTTGGACAACTGACTCTCTCAGACGAGTGTTATGCTTACTCTCACCTTTGAGTCTGGTGAGCGGGATGAGGAAGGTGGTCTCATAGAAGCGAATGCCGTTGATCCGTGGGTCCCACGGGCACACCTGGCGGCCCAGGAGCGTGCGACCCGCGTCCTCACAGCCTGAGGACGTCTGGAAGCGGTTGTGGTAGCCCACTGGGAGGATGGGAGAATCGGAGAATGGGAGAGGGGAAAGGGTGGTGAGGCCTGGCTTGACCCGCAGGTCCCACGGGCACACCTGCCGGGCCAGGGGAGTGCGCCCACGTTCTCACAGCCTGAAGTTGTCTGGAAGCGATTGTGATAACCCACTGGGGGGATGGGCGAGAGAAGAGTAGAGGAGGGACGGGGCTATGAGAGAAAGGGGGGGGGTGAATCTGGAAGATACCTGCGTCCTCACAGCCTGAGGACGTCAGGAAGCGGTTGCGGAAGCCCGCTGGGAGGATGGGAGAGGGGAAGGGGAGAGGAGGAGCGGGGACAGGGGTTATGAGGGAAAGAGAGGGTAACTTGCGTCCAGGACAGGCGTCCTCACAGCCGGAAGACATCTGGACGCGATTGTAGTAGCCCACTGGGAGGATGGGAGAGAGAGGGGAAGGGGAGAGGAAAAGGGCGGGCCGGGAGGGAGTGGAAGGAGAATGGGGTATGAGGAACAGGGTTGGTCTCCTTTGAATGCTTTTATCAATAACAGCCAACATGGAAGCTTCTAAGAAAGTGTTTTTTTTTTTTTTTTTTGTGAATCCACCAGTACAAGGACATAGTGTTTACAGCGAGAGACTTACAGCGAATCAGCAGCGTGCTTATAGCGGGTCAGCGGCCTTACCAACAGGGAAGCCTCTAAATAGGGTGCCATCATTGGTGAAACCGCCCCCCAGGCGCAGGAGAACGGGCACCTGACGTTGGGGTTGGGGTTGGGAAAAGGCAGCAGGTGAATGTGAATGTGAGTTGGGTTGGGGCTCAGAAGTGTGAATGTTGCTTCACCATCATTGGTGAAGCCGCCCCCCAGGCGCAGGAGAACGGGCACCTGACGTTGGGGTGTTCAAGTGAACATTGGAACAGAGTTGGGCTCTTGGGTTTTAAAGTGAGGGTTGCGGTTGGCTTAATCAAGACCGAGTGGAAAGGTTCCACAAGGAAGTGGGGATGCGTCATGCGTGCATGACCATTTAAGTCAAAAGTCGAACTGTGAACTGTTTTTACACACACGTGCGTGCCTACGCACCTGCACTGTCTTCAGTACGCACCTGTACTGTCTTCAGTACGCACCTGCACTGTCTTCAGTACGCACCTGTACTGTCTGCCACAGGTTGCAAATGTCCTGCTCGTTCGTGGAGGTCTGCGTGCGATGGTCTGCGTTTTCAAGTTTCCGGGCGAGAGCAGATAGGGATGACAGAAAAGCGAGGGAAAAGGGAGAGGAGGGCAGGGACGGAAGGGAGGAAAGGGCGGTGAAAGGTAGTTGGGGTGGACAGTTTGTATGTGGGGACTGCTTGGTAATGGGCATGGGAAGGGGAGCATCAAAGCAAAGGTAAGAGCTGGTGCTCTTTACAATTATATTCTATTGGCTGGCATTCAAAGGACAGAGGTTACATACCGAGAGCAGCGAAGGCGGTCCAGGTGTAGTCAAACTGGGTTCGGAAGATGGGCAGGGCGTAGGAGCCGGTGCCAGTGCTAGGTCCCGCCTTATCACTAATCCTACATGAGCTAGCCAGCAGGCAAAGGCAAGGCCGTACGTACCTAGCGCAGCAAGTGCGGTCCAGATGTAGTCAAACTGGCCTCGGAAGATGGGCAGGGCGTAGGAGCCGGTGCCAGGGCGGGAGACAGGCACCATATTGTCCCTCCTCCAAAACACACTGGGGGGGGCAGGGGATTGAGAATGAAACACGCGGGTGAGTTTGCGGGGACTAGCAGCACACTGGCAGGAGCAGCGGGCCAGGGCAGTGAGTGTGGCGGTGCCTGGGCGGGAAACAGGCACCATGTTGTCCCTCCGCCAAAACACACTGGTGGGGGCGGAGGGGGGGAGGGGGTGGTGTGCGCGTGGGACTGACTAAACACACTGGCAGGCGCAGCGGGGTGCACCTGGGGGAGAGACAGGCACCGTGTTGTCCCTCCGCCAAAACACACTGGTGGGGGCAGGGGATTGAGAATGGGGGGGAGGGGGTGGTGTGCGCGTGAGACTGAATAAACACACTGGCAGGCGCAGTGGGGTGCACATGGGGGAGAGACAGGCACAATGTTGTCCCTCCGCCAAAACACACTGGGGGGGGCAGGAGATTGAGAATGGGGGGGAGGGGGTGGTGTGCGCGTGAGACTGAATAAACACACTGGCAGGCGCAGTGGGGTGCACATGGGGGAGAGACAGGCACCATGCTCTCCCTCCGCCAAAACACACTGGTGGGGGGCAGGCAGGGGGGTGTAGAAACCGGGAGCTAAAGGGACTGAGAGGCAGGGGCGAGGTAAGATGAAGCGGCAGGAGTGGTTTATGAGGAGCAGAAGTCGTGTGAGGGGGAGCAGTGCTGTGTAAGGGGCAAGGGCCGCAAGCTCACCTAAAAAATAGTGAGGGACAGCAAGGGTACAGTAGAGGGACTACCAGAGGACTCACCTTTGTGCGGCCGGGTACCAGTTGAGGTCCGGGAAGGTTGTGTTGCGCGCGAATAAGAGGATCTCATTCTCCAGATTCGCATCACTGTGGACAGGGTTGCGTTGGGTGAAGCAGGGGGGGGTGGGTGGGTGGGTGGATACGGGGGGAGGAAGGTTAAGGTCCGGGAAGGTTGTGTTGCGCACGAATGAGAGAATCTTGCTCTCGAGATTCGCATCGCTATGGATAGTTTTGGGTCGAGTGGAGCCAAGTACAGCGAGCGGAACAGGGGGGAAATAAATAACGAGATTGAAGAGAGGAAACAGCATGGATGGGACAGGCAACATTGGTTGAAGGAGATATTAAGCAAACAAGGGGAA